GCAGCGCACCTTCAGTGACTTGTGGAAGGAGCACTATTTTAGCGCTCCTTCCAGGCGCGGCGAAGCTGCGCCGTAGGGCCGAGGTGTGGGGATACCTCAGCCCCGTGGTGCAGCTTCCCAGGGCAGCCCAGGGCTGCCCGTCTGCTTCCCCCCAACAAGGAGAATAGAGGAGCATCTTTGCAGTGTTTGAACTGCTGCCTCATGCAGTTAGCTTTCAGTAAAAATGTGTTTCTTGAATACATACTATAGTTGAATCTTTCATTCCACTACTGCTTGGTGCAAAAATGTTTTAAAGTTTATAATATTAAAAAAAAATTGCCACCTATTATTTTAAGCATTTTATTCAGCTAAAATTTCCTAGAATACTGTTGTTCTTGTTGCTGTGGCTATTTTTGTCATTATATGCTTTCAAGTCAATTTGACATGGTGACCCTATCCTATAGTTTTCTTGGCAAGATGTATTCAGAAGAGGTTTGCCATTGCATTCATCTGTAGCTAAGAGAGTGTGACTTACCCAAAGTTTGGGTTCTAAAACAGAATTGGGATTTGAGAGCTAGGGCCTTTGCAGACTGCCAGAAACAGTGCAAATTGAGTCCATTTTAAGGATTAGGGTTAGTGCTAGGGAATCATGGGAATTGTTTTGTTTTTTTCTGAGACATTGAGCCTTCTCTGTCAGAGAAGCTCTGGTGCCACAATAAAATACAGTTCTCATGATTCCCTAACCCTTAAAGTGGACTCAATTTGCAAACCACTATACCACATTGGTTCAGAGAAGCCAATAAAAAAAAGTCCCTGCTCTCAATTTTAAAATGTAGATGACACAACACAACCAAAACTTTTGAGTGGGGATGAAAAAACAAATGAAGCTCAGGCACCATTTTTTATTGTAAAACAAGAGTTATTTATAATGAATGAAAACACTTCAGGGAGAGGATGAGCCAGCTAACCCAGAGGGAAAGCAGATGGTGCAAAGGGCCATTTTGGGGGCAAGGAAGGGGAGGGGCAGCTGCAAGGTGGGTGCCCCAACCCCTTTCTGAAGGCATCATTAGAGCGCTGGCCCCTCCGCACGGCCGGCACTCCGATGATGCCTTCCTGCCACAGCATCCACAAACGCTGCGGCAGAAGAGTCGCCGAAGGTGCGTCACCAGCCTTTTGCGGTGCACCTTCACCGACTTGTGGAAGGAATGCTATTTTAGCGCTCCTTCCAGGGGCAGTGAAGCTGCGTCACGGGGCTGAGGTGTGGGGATACCTCGGCCCCGCGGCGCAACTTCCCAGGGCAGCCCAGGGCCGCCCGTCTGCTTCCCCTCCCAGTCATAAATCATGAAATATCATCAGAACAAAATTCATGTAAGAGACACATTGAATTTTGTTATCTAGTAAGGCAAAGAGAGTTCAAGGGATACTGAAACGTTACTGACAAGCCAAATTTAGCTACAAGAGTACACAGCTGCAAGTGGTCATAATACTGAATAATATTACCAGAAGGAAATTGAAACAGAAGGAAATTGAAAAGATGTTGTGAAGAAGTCATTTGTACTATGTGTGTCTAAAAGTTTACTAAATAAGGCAAAGGAATGTTTCTGGAGCAGAAACACAAACACTATTAAATAGTTATAAAACTGTCCAGAATGATAGAGTATCATTTTCATGACCACCCAATAACACAACTGGAATCCTCTTTGAATGAAAATAGAGACAAAAGCTATTGTACAAATAAAGGAAAGATTGCAAACAAACAAAGCATTAAAGTAAAATTGCCAAAAAGGAGAACAACAAAAAGACTCTGTAACATCCTCAACACAAAGATAAGAAGACACTTAAGGAGGCAATCAGAACTAATGGTGACATTAGCACGATAAAGGAAGACACATCTAAGGAATCCCTGGAGCAATTTATACCCAGTGAGTATGACATCAAGGAAGCTGCATTTGAAAAATCAACACTCCATTACAGTGGAATGAAGACACTGCATGGGAGGTTTATAAAACTTGAGATGCAAATTTTAGTAATTAGGATCAAAATGAAAGATGGCATTTTTTTAAAAAAAATGGAAGGGAGATAGAGTGGGTGGGTATGATGGACAGATGTCCCTAAAAGCCCTATAGGTAAAGGTAAAGGTATTCCCCATTGACAGGTTGTCAAGTCGTGTTTGACCATAGGGGCGGTACTCATCATGTCTGACCATAGGGGGTGGTGCTCATCTCTGTTACTAAGCCAAAGAGCCAGCATTGTCAGAGACTACTCTGTGATCATGTGGCTAGCATGATTGCACAGAAAGCTGTTTACCTTCCCACCAAAGTGGTACCTATTTAACTTCTTGCATTTGTATGCTTTCTAACTGCTAAGTTAGCAGAAGCTGGGACTAGTGATAGGAGCTCATCCCATTATGCAGCACCTGGGCCTTGAACTGCCAACCTGCTGATCTTGCAATCAACAGAGTCGGCATCTTAACCACTTGAGCCACTGCATCCCTTAATAGCCCTATAATATCCCTATAGTATCAGGCCATGGGCTTTGAGAGTTCTTCATCCAGTGGCTACCATACTGAAATTCAGGCCATCCAATATCAGCTTCATGGCCAGAATCTAATTTAGGCATTGTTGCTGTGTGCCGTCAAGTAATTTCTATCTTGGGGTTTGCTGAGACTGAGAGTGTGTGACTCACCTGAGGTCACCTAGTGGGTTTCATGGCCAAGAGGGGAATCAAACCCTGGTCTCTATAATTGTAGTCCAATGCTCAAAACAATAAAATGTGTGTGTATGTGTGTGCAGAGGAAGCAGTTGAACTTTCTCAGAGGTTGCATAAGTGTGGTCCTTAGGGCAGTCCAGTGTTTTGCAAGCATTCTCACAACTCTCCACACACTTTTGACTTGATGGTTGGGGTTCTGTTTGAACATTGGCTGAGCTCAAGAGTTTGGGTCCAATCAAGTGTTTGTGCAATCAATTGTTCATCCATAGGATGCCTTGTAACTATGGTAGTGCATATTTGTGCTATATTAAGGCCTACGTTCTCTTTCTGAGTATGGAGCTTATTGCATTGCCCTTTTTCCTGAGCAAGATGTGGGCTGAAACCTTTTAAACACAGAATTTATCACACACCTCTACACCCTAGCAGGTAACCAATCTGGACTTCTCCTGTACTTTTCAAAGAATGGGATGCCTCCTGCCTGGGCATGTCCATGTTTAAAAAGTTTCAGCCCACACCTGGCGCGGGAAAAAGGGCAGTGTGATAAACTCCTGAGATAGACCAATTGAATCTATTAACTTCATCTATGTGTTCATTCACCATTGAACAATTGAATGAATGGGTCTTCTCCAGCTGGGATTATCCCACAGGATACTATCTTAAGAGTTTTGGGGGCTAAGCAGATGGGAGGCCGTGGGCCACCCCGGGAAAGTGCGCCATGGGACCAAGGTATCCCCACAACTCAGCCCCGTGGAGCAGCTTTGCCACCCTTGGAAGGAGAGCTAAAATAGCGCTCCTTCCACAAGTCGCTGAAGGTGCACCACAAAAGGCTGGTGGTGCACCTTCGGCGACTCTTCTGCCGCAGCGTGTGCGAACGCTGCGGTGGGAAGTCATCATCGGAGCACCGGCAGGGAGGGGCTGGCGCTCCGACGATGACTTCGGGAAGGGGTTGGGGCGCCCACCGTGCAGCTGCCCCTCCCTTTTCTTGCCCCCAAAATGGCCCTTTGCACCGTCTGCTTCCCCCCTGGGTTAGCTGGCTACCCCTCCCCCTCCTTGCCCCCAAGACAGCCCTTTTAGCCATCTGCTTCCCCCCATAGAGTAGTATAGTGGTTTGAATATTGGCCTACAACTCTGTTCTAAGATGAAGGCAAACTTCTTGCATTGCTGATAGGTATGTAGATTATTACACAGCATATTGTAATACCTACTAAGATGAAAGGAGACTCAGTATGTGCTTTCAGCATTGGACCATGACTGTGGAGTCCGGGTTAGACTCTGCATCTGGCTATGGAAACCCAATAGGGAAGTCACACTCTCTCAGCCTCATTCAGAGGAAAGCAAAGACAAACCCATGGGCAAGTCACAGTCTCAGCCTTACTCAGAAGAAGGGAAAGACAAACCCTCACTGAACAAATTTTGCCAAGAAAACCCCATGATAGGTTTGACTTAGGTTTGTTATAAATCAGAAACAAATTAAAGGCACACAGCAATAACAACTACTGCAACAACTATGACACCATTTTCTTTTAAACTTAATATTTATTTATTTATTTATTTATTTTTCACATTTACACACTGCATTTCTTCCTGGGCATGTCCGGTGGTGTTCATTGTTCTCTCTCCCCACATTTTATTCCCTCAGTCATCCTTTGTCAGGCAGACAAACTGCTACTGTTCCTTTTTACTTACTCAATTCCATGACAAAGGATTTGAACTTGGATCTTCCCAGCCTCACATAATATAATTTATTTAAAGTATTTATTAATTGCTTTTCTGTCACCTTAAGGTGATGAGATTAAAACCATTTTTTAAAACCAAATGCTACAGGGAATAATGCAGATTTGGCTGCCTCCTGAAAGCTCAACTTTAACTTGAGTTTCTGTTATTGGGGGGAAGCAGACAAGAGCTTCCAGGATGCCGTGGGACGGTGTGCCTGTGGGACAGAGGCATCTGCACCATGGCGCACCATCGGCGCCCCTGAAAGGAGCACAAAATCAGCGCTCCTTTCAGAAGTCAGTGAAAGTGCGCCCCAAAAGCATAGGGAGCACTTTCACTGACTTATCCACCACAGCGTGTGAAGATGCTGCGGCGGGAGGTTGCCCTCGGAGCGCCGGCTGTGCGGAGGGCCGGCTGCTCCGAGGGCAACCTTGGGAGGAGGAAGGGGCACTGATCGTGCAGCTGCCCCTCCTCTTCCCTGCCTCCAGGATGGCTCAATTAGCCATCTGCCGAGGCAGATTGTCAGCAACCAATGCATGCTTGTATTCACCAACTACTAGCTTGCATTTTATTTTATAAATAGTTAAACATATATTTGAGTGATAATAGCATAGTGGTGTGAGTGCTGGACTCTGACTCTGGAAACCAGGGTTCAATTCCCTGCTTGCCATGAAACCCACTAGGAGATCTTGAACAAGTTATTGTTAAGACAGTATCCTAGGGAAAATGTTCAATATGGTTTGATACAGATGTGACCAGGCATGAAAGGGTCACAGGCAGCCATAATGACTGAGCACTTTCCACCAGGTGGTGAGTCAGAGGAAGTGATATCGGCTGATGGTCATCAGGTGCTGTAAAGCACAGAAAAAGCTGCAAAACGGTCAAATCACCCTGGATGAGTGACAGGTGTCAAAAGGAAGAGGCAGGGCCAAAAGGCCACATGGAACCCTAGGTATATAAGAGAGTTGCCTCAGGACACATGTGTTGTTGTGGTTGTTGGGAGTTGTTGCTGTGTCGGTGGATTGTTGTGTGTATATAGCCTTGTAAATAGAGGAACCAAGATTAAAGCCTCATCTGAGAGACACCTGTTTGTAGAGTCTTTTTACTCTTTCTGGAAGGGGAGAGGTGCTTCTCTAGTTCATAAGCTACTGCCTGCATCTGAGAAGGTGGTGACCCTGGTGCTACACATTGACATGGATCATCACGTGCTGCTTAAACATGCTAACAAGGATTATGGGCTCAGTCTGTGCCAGTGGAACTGCCTGGATGACAGTGTGAGTAGCTGTTTGTGTGCAGTTGTCCAGAAGAGCAGTTCTAAATGTCTGAGTGCCAGAAGGCAGAGAGTTAAGAAGCTGAGTTGCTTGCTGTGCTCCTCATCTCCAACTGATAGTGAGAGCTGGGAAGGCTGCCAACACTGAGCATTCATCTTGTTTTGCTCCAGCATGGATTTTGTGAAGTTCCCAAGGCTAAATGATCAGAACTACTCCCAGTGGGCAGTTTATGCTGAGGTGATCCTGGTGAGGGAAGTGTCAGAATCTCATTGACTATTTCTGACAGGAAGGGCTCTGGGATGCCACTGAAGAGGGTCCGACAGTGAAAAATGCTGAGCTTGATAGAATAGCAAGAGCAACCATAAATCTTTCCCTAGACCCAAACCAATTAGATCATGTTAGAGGTAAGAGATCTGCCCAGGAGGTCTGGTTTGCATTGAAGAATGTGCACCAGTCAGACTCTGCTATTACCAAAATGCTTTGGAGCAAAAGGCTGTATGTCTGTAAGATGCAGAAAGGACAGTCCCCAGAGAAGCATCTGGCCACCATTACGTATCTGTTTTTGGAGGTAGAATCCAGAGGAATATACCTCCCAAAAGAACAAAAAGCATATATCCTGCTGGGCAGCTTATCCAGTGACATTGATCACATAGTGTACAGCCTGCAGGGGGTGTCAGAGAGTCAGCTCACTATGGACTTGGTGTCAACACGTCTCTTGGATGAATGCCAGAGATGGCATTTTGATAGTGGCATTCAGAGACAGCAACATGCCGAGCCAAGATCAAACACACCATCAGAGGCAGTTCAAAAAACTGAGAGTGCAGCTGTCTGCAAAGTTAGACAATATTATAATTGTGGTCAGCCAGGTCATTTCAGGAGGAACTGAAAGAAGCCACCTGCTGCCCGAAGGAAGGAACAACACTTGTCTCCTGGGAACAGGAAGGGAGTTGTTTCGGCAGTAAAGGACAGTGACTGTCAAGCACATCTCACTGTTGAAGCCAGACATATCTGGATGATTGACAGTGGTGCAACTCACCACTTGGTGAACCAGAGATCCTTGCTGATGGACAGGAAGCCCTCATTTGTTGACTCAGTGGGTTTGGCTGATGGGGGTTCAAGCCAAATAAGAGACATGTGGACTGTGCATTTTCCAGGGTTTGACAAAGACTTTGAAAATGTGTTGTGTACTCCCCAGTTACAAAATTATCTGGTCAGTGTGTTCTCACTGACTACAGATGGGTATGTCCTACATTTTGAGGGGATGATTGTGTTATCACTAAGGGGGGCAGGTTTGTGCAAAAGCACATAAGCACAACAGATTATACTACCTAGACACCCATGTAGAGTGTGCCACAGTTCGCAATGTGCCGTTGCACTCAAATTGTGCACACTGCCTTCATAGGGTGTTGGGACACATGGGCTTTACAAGTTTAGAGAAATTGAGAAGTGTGTGTCCTGAGTTGAAACTGGATAAATGTAAGAACCATTTGGAATGCTCTGTGTGAAGCAAGATAAAGCTGAGGGCATTTCCTATTGCAAAGAGAAGCAAGTGCGCCACCCAGAGGCCATTCCAAGAGGTGTACGCAGATTTGGCTGGGCCTTTTGCCAAATCAGTAGGCAATAGTAGATATCTGCTGGTGATAGTTGATAGATACACCAGATACTCCTATGCCTACATGCTAAAGGAGAAGAATGAGGCAGCTGCCACATTCAAGAAATGGATGGAAATGGTGGTACTCTGGTACAAATGGTACAAAGTTGGTACTCTAGTGACAGACTGTGGGGGCGAATTTTTTTCTGTAAGCTTGGCAATTTGTTAAAACAGAAGGGCATCCACCATAATACCACCAACCCAGCCACCCCGCAGGAAGACAGTTTGGTGGAAAGAAAAATTGGGTTACTAAAGCATATTAAGGACTGCATTCTGCTTGATGCAGGAGCCCCAGAGGGTCTTTGGGGGGAGGCAATCTTGACTGATTGCCACATCACCAACTGGGTGTGGAACTCTGCAGTCAAGCAAATGCCCTACTTTATGCAGTATGGGAGGGCACCCAACCTCAGCTACATAAGGGTGTTTGGGAAGCATGCCAATGTTTTGGTTCCCCAGGCTTTCAGGAAGAAAGGTGATCCCAAGTGGCACAGATTGATGTTTGTGAGATACCAGGGAAACAGTTACAGGTTTTACTTGGGAAATGGCTGCATCCTGTTGTCCAGAAGTGCAAATTTTGAGAAACACTCTGGGTGGGGAAAAAATCCACATAAATTAGAAAGTGTTTGTCAGATTGGGACAACTGGGAGGCAATACTGGAGCTGGAAGGGTGGAAACACCAGAGGCTACACCAGAAAACCAGCCTAGCACCTCTAGTGAACCCACATGGACCTCACCCACACAGACCTCACCCATCACTACACAAAAGTTTGAGACACCATCATCCACAGAGATAGGGGTACAGATGAGTAGTGACAGTGAGGATGAGAAGAGATGAACCAAGGTAATCATACTCAGCAGGACTCAGAGAGTTAGGAGGACACCTGAGCGTTTTGTGGTACAGAATTCCAGGATATATACTTTTGCAGCTGATGAACCAGAAAGCTACCAAGAGCTTCTCACCTATACTAGGGAGGAACAGGAGAAGTGGTTTGAGGCCATGGATAGTGACTTCTCATCTCTAATAAAGAGGGAGGTGTTTGAAATGGTGGATAGGCTAGGAGACTGGAAGGTCATGGTTGCAAGTGGGTATTCAAAAGGAAAGAGATGCCTGATGGAACCCACAACTATAAGGCCAGTTTAGTAGCCAAGGGATTCTCACAGCAATCGTTTGAGAGCTTTGACAAAACCTTCTCTATAACTGCAAAGCCAGAAAGCCTCAGGTTAGTGTTGGCATTGGCTGTGATAAAAGGTCAAGTGGTTAGACACTTTGACTTTGAGACGGCATACCTGAATGCATGGCTGCATGAGGTATACATGGAGCAAGAGCCTGATTTTGATGATGCCAAGGAGGGCAAGATTTACAGGTTGAGAAAAGCTCTTTATGGGCTTAAGCAGAGTGCATGCTGCTGGAACCTTTGTATCCATGATGAGCTGGTGAGGCTGGGATAGAAGCACTGTGTAGCGGATGCTTGTGTATACAAGAAAGGAGGGGTCACACTAGTAATCTATGTTGATGACCTGTGTGAAGGCTGTACAGGAGAAGCTGGTGAGGAAATTTATATTGAAGGACTTAGGAAACCTCAAGGCCTACCTAGGGATTGAGGTGGAGAGAACAGGTGATGGCAAGATCCTATTAAGTCAGACCAAAAAGATAGGCTGGTGGAGAAGTGTTGCTTGGAGAATGCTAAGATAGTGAAGAGCCCCATGACACCAGGTTATATCAGCAGTGAGTCAGAAAAGATTTTTGAGCATCCAGAGTTGTACAGGTCTGTGATAGGCAGTCTGATGTTTGTGGCCAACAACACCCAAATGGACATTTCCTTTGCTGTGGATGTTTTGAGCAGGAGGGTCAGCAGTCCAAAGGTGGAGGACTGGACAGCAGTGAAGAGGTTGCTCAGGTACCTAAAGGGCAGCAAGGAGAGGAAGCTCATGCTGCAGGGTACTGAGGCACAGCTAGAATGCTTTGTGGATATCTCCTTTGTATCAAAGCAAAAGCAACTTCATTTATATACCACTTCATACCATGCTATACAGTGTCTAAGCAGTTTACAACTGTAAGCTCATTGCCCCCCAACAGCTGGGTACTCATTTTAGCGACCACAGAAGAATGAAGGCCTGAATCCAGCCTGAGCCCTGGCTAGTATTGAACTTGTAACCTTGTGGTTTATGAGTGATTGGCCGCAGTGCAGACATTTAACCACTGCACCACCATCAAAGCTGCCTGATAGGAAGTCTGTGACAGACTTGTTCATCGAGTTTGCAGACAGTTCTATAGTGTGGGGGAGTAGAAAGCAGAGCTGTGTGGCACTGAGCACCTCAGAAGCAGAGTTTGCTGCATTGTCAGAGATGGCAGAAGTGCAGTGGATGAGGCAGCTGCTGGTGAATTTAGGTGAGGAGTGTACAGGCCCAACAGTTGTGCATGAGGACTCACTGCATTGTCATGTCAGTGGCTGAAAACCTCAGGAACAAAACAAAATACATAGGGGTTAGGTACCAGAATGTGAGGGAGTCAGTCCTGAATAGTGTTCTGTGTCTGTCCTAAATTAGTTCAGAGGACAGTGTGGCAGACATCCTCACAAATGTGGCAGACATCCTTTCAGGCAGAGACACATGAGCAAATGTCTGTACAGTTGGGTGTGGCATTGGGAATGGAAGCTAAAAGCCAGAGGTCCTGAGTGGATGGAAGATCCTAGCCTGAGGGCATGAACAGAGTGGTGGAAGATCTGGGCCAGAGTCTGGAAGCACTGGAG